CGTAATGCGGGACAACCTCCATTTATTCACCTCATTGAATTCAGTAGAAAGGAACTCCACCAGAGAGGCATTACGCATCAAAGCCACCTTGTTATTTTTCAATAAACATTTTTTTGTCTGTGCATGATGCGGGCAACCCATATGCATCATCCATTTTCTGCCTCACTCGCTCCTCCTCATTATTCGAATCAGGCTGCAGCTCCTCAATGGCATTCTAATTCCAACCAGCCGGTGATGCCAGAGAAACCTGAGTGCAAAATGATCTAGGAAGCTCTCTGTTTTCCAAAAATCACTTCCCTTAATAGGATTTACCTACCATGAGGTGCTTAACATGAGCAAATGGTATTTATTGACTGAAACTGTCAGGCAGCTGGACGCATTTTGCCCATAATGCCGCACCAAAAATCCGTCGACGTCATTGAGATGGACCCAAGGCGAGCACACCGGGAGGAGCAGCGCAAGGGAACTGAATTGAAGCAGACCTTCATTATCAGCTGCTGTTGACTTAAATCGACAACGTATTTACTCTCAAACAACATCTTCAAAACATTGTTTTGTTTTCTTTTTTTTGGGAAGGCGCAGAACAGATTAATGGCACGTCCATTCACTTCAATGGGGAAAGATGACTTGAGATACGAGTCATGGAATCGATCCAATTCTTATCTCAAGGCACCACTGTCCTCGAAACTGTTTCTAAAAATGCGTTTTTGTTACCATCCTGTCATGATGCGTCAGTCTCCTGTTGCTGGAAAGCCGTGACACACACAAACACACACACACTTGTGCGACTCACAAACACATTGAGCTATGCAACCTCCTGTTGGAACCGACACCGTAACCGCATACACGTTGGCACAAGCCTGCTTAAAGGTTTTCCCTTTTTTTGTTTTTAAACTCCCCGTTTGATTGCCTGCTTGTGCTCGCTGTCTCTCTTGAAGGTGGAGAGCGGGTCAAACGCCTCCGAAGGTTTCGAGGAAAGATCGTCATCAAACGCGCCAGCGCCAAATCGCTGGGAGATGAGGTCATGATCTGTTGCGCAAGTCAGCTGACACCTTTAGAAAGCGCACAGGTAAGGCTGGCAGCCACATTTAGACTTCCCGAACTGTCCAACGAGATGAATGGGTGACACGAGTCACATGACTTGGCTCAAGTCACATGATTCGACTCAAGCTAGACTTATATTGGCTTTTTTTTCATTGTGGATATCTGTAACTCCGGTTTGAGATATCTACTGTTTGATTAACCCTTTCATGCACCCTGGAGCCTAATAACATGATAAGCTGTCCACTGTAGTAACCGCTGTCCCCGAAAGGGTTAATATGTCTTAATCCAAGTTGCAGATTTCTACGACTTCATTTTGATTAGCTGAAACTTGATTTAAGATTTATAGACACATACTGCATCTCAACAGGAAATGGCTGTTTTGCAAAATGGAACAATAGATCTGTGTAGCACACATCCAGTCGAGCCGTATGTTAAAATCGTGACGACCTCCCTGCATTCCGATTGCTCCAGGGAATGGGACCAATCTGATTAGTCGTACCGATTCGCATTCTCCGCTGTCATGGCGTCATCCCAGCGAGCGCCGAAAGGCATCCGACATGTTTCCATTCTGGTGTCAAATCAATTGGACAAACCCAATGATGCGGCACATGATTGACACCCGGTCGTAGGTCGAATGCAGGCGACACTCTCCACCCTCGGCAAACACCACCCGGCAGGCTCAGCTCACCGCGTGACTTCACACGCGGCTTATAAAAGCGATGATTACACCCTAAAAGCCTTAAAGTGCCCGGGGTTGTGATGTCATTCCAAGCGGTAACTGCAAGGCAAACATACCAGGAGGAACACGCAAAGTGTGTGAAGAGCTTCCAGAACGGTGTGTGCTGTTCAGACTCGGGACACCTCATCGTTGTGTGTACAGAGTGTAGCTGCCCTTACACAATAGCTTTTCACATGTTTCTATTGCAAACATGGGAAAAGTGCAGGGGTGGAAACAATGTCAACAATGCTCAGTTAACATCACTAAACTTTGCTCCATAGCGCAGTTACGACAAAATATAGATGAAGCACCATTTCACTTGGGGGCAAACCCCCAAAATAAATAACGGAGATGACAACTTTTTTTTTTCCCCACTACTGAAAGAAGTTTTTGTTGAAATTTATTGTGTCAAGTGGTTGCACAAAACAGAATCATTGAGATCCAGATAATTTTTTTAAGCAGATCTATAAAATTTAAAATGTTGGATTTATTTTATTTTAGTTTTGGGGGAACTTTTCTGTAGGTGGATGAAAGTTGTTGCTCTTTTTTTTTTTTTGTTATGCATGACAATCACTGACATTTATTTTGTTGAATTTCCTCAGTTTTATTGCATCAAACGGTGCAATAAAGATTAAAGATTATTTATCACGGAAACAAATTAAAAAATGGAGTGATCACATATGCAAATTAAGACTTTGTTATTACTGCTCTTAATCCAAGTTGCAGATTTCTACGACTTCATTTTGATTAGCTGAAACTTGATTTAAGATTTATAGACACATACTGCATCTCAACAGGAAATGGCTGTTTTGCAAAATGGAACAATAGATCTGTGTAGCACACATCCAGTCGAGCCGTATGTTAAAATCGTGACGACCTCCCTGCATTCCGATTGCTCCAGGGAATGGGACCAATCTGATTAGTCGTACCGATTCGCATACTCCGCTGTCATGGCGTCATCCCAGCGAGCGCCGAAAGGCATCCGACATGTTTCCATTCTGGTGTCAAATCAATTGGACAAACCCAATGATGCGGCACATGATTGACACCCGGTCGTAGGTCGAATGCAGGCGACACTCTCCACCCTCGGCAAACACCACCCGGCAGGCTCAGCTCACCGCGTGACTTCACACGCGGCTTATAAAAGCGATGATTACACCCTAAAAGCCTTAAAGTGCCCGGGGTTGTGATGTCATTCCAAGCGGTAACTGCAAGGCAAACATACCAGGAGGAACACGCAAAGTGTGTGAAGAGCTTCCAGAACGGTGTGTGCTGTTCAGACTCGGGACACCTCATCGTTGTGTGTACAGAGTGTAGCTGCCCTTACACAATAGCTTTTCACATGTTTCTATTGCAAACATGGGAAAAGTGCAGGGGTGGAAACAATGTCAACAATGCTCAGTTAACATCACTAAACTTTGCTCCATAGCGCAGTTACGACAAAATATAAATGAAGCACCATTTCACTTGGGGGCAAACCCCCAAGATAAATAATGGAGATGACAACTTTTTTTTTCCCCACTAGTGAACGAAGTTTTTGTTGAAATTTATTGTGTCAAGTGGTTGCACAAAACAGAATCATTGAGATCCAGATAATTTTTTTAAGCAGATCAATAAAATTTAAAATGTTGGATTTATTTTATTTTAGTTTTGGGGGAACTTTTCTGTAGGTGGATTAAAGTTGTTGGCTCTTTTTTTTCTTTTTTGTTATGCGTGACAATCACTGACATTTTGTTGAATTTCCTCAGTTTTATTGCATCAAATGGTGCAATAAAGATTAAAGATTATTCATCACGGAAACAAATTAAAAAATGGAGCGATCACATATGCAAATTAAGACTTTGTTATTACTGCGGGCCCACACGTGAAATCAAAGATGCCTGTTTAAAAGGGCCCCGTCAAGACTTGGGTACAAAGAGACTCTGCCATTTTGTTGAGGGTGGGGGTTGGTTGTGGGTGGGCTGCACCAACAACAGGTGCTCCCTCGCAGCTGTCCCGTCGGACTCGGAGGTGAAAGAGTCAGCAAGCGAATCTCTCGTTGTTCCTCCTTTACAACCCCGCTCAACCTCGTGAAGACAACTAACGCCTTCAAAGGGACACTTCAAGTTGGGTGACCAAGACCCCCCAGGTGAAAGAGTCAGCAAGCGAATCTCTCGTTGTTCCTCCTTTACAACCTCGTGAAGACAACTAACGCCTTCAAAGGGACACTTCAAGTTGGGTGACCAAGACACCCCTCGGCGCTCCCCCCACCAACACACACCATCACGAGGCTCCTCAAACTGTGACTGATTTTTCTGCTACTTCATAAAGTCAGACTTTCTCGGTCCAATACACATACTGATAGCATAGTATAGTGGCATGCTTTAATGCAGACTCTTTCAAGTTGAAAGAGAGCGCTTTAACTTTTGACCCTTTTGACAAGCATTGAAATAACTGACCAAAAGCTCTTTCGATTCAAGGCAACACTCCACATCAGACAATTTTAATCAGGAGTGAAGAACCTGACCAAACAGCTTTATTGCAGATTGTTTCAATTTAGCGGCGCTCGTGACATTCGACTGTCTCAAACAGGATTGAAAATGTTGACCTAATTGTGGACTCGTTCGAGTTTAGCGGGGTCTTGACATTTGACCTGTTTGAAACAGCATTGAGAAAACTGAATTCACATTTTCGTATACTTAAAGCCACGGTGCTATTTTATTTTCACCAAATAACTTGAGCAGACAAAAGGATTGAATCCATTTATTATAATAATCGTGATACTGAATCGAGTGCGACTGTGAATAAATGGAATTCCTTTGAGACAGCGATCGAGTCCCAATGAAGTTGTTACGACAGCCAACAGATGCGACATGAGATCAAGGACGGCACACATTTTTTGTTTATGCAGATTGTTTCAATGTAGCAGAGCTCGTGACATTTGGCAGTCTCAAACAGGATTGAAAATGTTGACCTAATTGTGGACTCGTTCGAGTTTAGCGGGGTCTTGACATTTGACCTGTTTGAAACAGCATTGAGAAAACTGAATTCACATTTTCGTATACTAAAAGCCTTTTTTTTTCGCCAAATAACTTGGCAGTTATTAAAGCAGACAAAAGGATTGAATCCATGTATTATAATAATCGTGATATTTAATCGAGTGCGACTGTGAATAAATGGAATTCCTTTGAGACAGCAATGAAGTTGTTACGACAGCCAACAGATGCGACATGAGATCAAGGACGGCACACATTTTTTGTTTTTGTTAAAGTCCCTGTGAAGTGAAAATAATCTTCAGATCACGCTTCAAAATCGTGAAAAACATGAAGATGAAGGCGCAGTAAACTCTGGCTGACAAGCTTGACCTTCGTTTCCCCCCTTTCTCATAGAGTGGATGAGGGATAGTTCATTGGCTGATCCCCAAGTGCATCACTGAGCCTCATTTTAGCCACGCCCCCACCCCAAAAAAAAATCGGACAAACTGAAAATATGAGAATCAGTTTAATGCTCAAATAATGAGTTCTACATACTTTGCATGTTTCCAGCAATTATTTTCAAACATAGAAACACATGTAAGAATGATTTTGACTTTACAGGGACTTTAAAGAAACGCTGGCACTCTTTTCTGCGCTAATACTTTTCGGTTGGGGGGGGGGTGGTGAATCCAACCCTGATTTAATGCATGAAAAAAATTTAGAAGGCGCAGTAAACTCTGGCTGACAAGCTTGACCTTCGTTTCCCCCCTTTCTCATAGAGTGGATGAGGGATAGTTCATTGGCTGATCCCCAAGTGCATCACTGAGCCTCATTTTAGCCACGCCCCCACCCCCAAAAAATCGGACAAATTGAAAATAGTGAGAATCAGTTTAATGCTCAAATAATGAGTCCTCCATACTTTGCATGTTTCCAGCAATTATTTTCAAACATAGAAACACATGTAAGAATGATTTTGACTTTACAGGGACTTTAAAAAAACACTGGCACTGTTTTCTGCGCTAATACTTTTCGGAAGGGGGGAGTGGGGGTTGGGGGGATGAATCCAACACTGATTTAATGCATGACAAACATTTAGCAGCACTATATGTCATCTCTGAAGTCCGGTGTGTGTGCTCAAAACTGGGAGTGGAATGATGACGTCAGTTATTTAGCCCGTGGCTCTATTGACTGTAAACCGTATTGCGTTGGGCAGTTTCAGTCAACGCTCACCCAGGGGACCGTTTGCAAAGCGGCTACGACAGCACGGTGAGCGTAACGCTGCCTTTGGTCCTCTTCAGGATGCCCACGGCCTCCTCGTGCGTGACTCCCTCCAGCGGCTGCCCGTTGACCGCCATGATCTGGTCGCCCCGCTTCAAGCGGCCGTCCTCCGCCGCCGCCCCCTTGCCAAAAACCGTCTTGACGTAGATGGGCAGGTCTCCGTGGGGGCTGCCGTAGCCTCCGACGATGCTGAAGCCCAGCCCGTCCGGACCTCTCTCCAGCGTGATGCTCTTGTATTGAGGAGGGCTGATGGGAACGTGGGGACACAATCAATATGTTAGGTAGTTAGTTAGTTAGTTAATTGTTTATTGAACATACAATACAACAACAATTGACAAAAGGCAAGCAAAACTACAAAAGGAAAAATAAAAAGTAAATATGGGGTGCGCCTCTCAAAATTTGGCCTTTCCAAAAGCAGTCACTGAGAGGGTCAATATTGCGATGATAATAATTAAAGCCCCGTGTTGGCGATTGAGTAGACAGAACGGAAAAAAACAGAAAAATTCTTATGAGCTCTGACCCTGGCTAATAAATCGTCGATTCGTTGCTATGATAATAATAATAATAATACATTTAATTTATAAGAGCCTTTCAATAATTCAAGCCCTGTGTTGGCGATTGAGTAGACAGAATGGAAAAAAAATGAACAAATTATTATGAGCTCTGACCCTGGCTAATAAATCGTCGATTTACCAAGTAGTGGAGTTGAAGCACAAAAAAAGAGTTGATACTCTTATAATAATAATAGTAATAAAAGCACCCTAAAAGTGTTGAAAACCTGATGAGCTAGAAGGAAAGATAGTTTTTGAAATTAGCATGACAAATACAAAACCATCTTTGATTAAAATTAGCTGCTGACTGCTGTAATTATGGAGTCGATTTCCACCCAATATATCAAAAAAGGGCAAACAGAATCATCGTGGAAGCTTCCAACCTGAGGTCATCCTGGAAGATGCAGCTGGGCACCTGGAGGCCTCCGGCCGCCTGCTCCTGAGCTGCGCCAGTCACTGTGTTATCCCCACCCGCCACCACCTAAACGCCACAAGCGGTTATTGGCACCAAAAAAAACAAAAACAAAAAAAAGAATATGGTTTCTGTGGGCGTTCTTACTTGCAGCTGTATTGTCCCTGTGGCATTCTTGAGCAAAGTGACAGCTTGCGAATGACTCATGCCTTCGGTAGAAGTTCCGCAGATACTGATGATCCGGTCCCCCACCTTTGAGAAGGATACATTGATGAAATACTGAGCTTGGGCATTTATGCGTGCAGGGTAATGATGCAATCATTCATTTGATTGTGTTTGGTTCGAATTACAATCGTTGTCATTGCAAAACAATCTGCGCATCATTTCTTTGCTCCGTTGTTTAGTTGGCAATCAAAAGCGACTGTTTGCAAACTGGATTTGCAATGTGGGCGAAGGGCAACACTTCAGGGGGGCCACGCTGTCTCGTGGGACAAAGCAGCGCATGGTTTTGTCCAAACGAGTCCCTTGTTAGCCTGAGCCGTCTGAATTCAAGAGGGGGAGATTTATTAGGCTCCAACAGTCTGCATCACACAGGGCAGCGATTGTCAACGTGGCCCTTTTCCCCCCACCCTTTCCACTCATGAAAAAGCTGTGGGCTCCGTCAGGAATTGAGACTCATTCCGGAATGGCTGGTATGCATATTTGGACGTCAAATGAAGACGCCTGCGATACTGACACCGAAGTTGAGTTATTTGAGTTTTGTGTTTTCTGGCGACTGTGCTGAAAATGCAAAATGTTTGGCAATTTAGAGTCGCCAGTCTTGTCTGGTATATCTACAACATTTCGAGGACAAATTGGCTTGCGAAGGACATCTGGAAAAGTGCAAAGATTAAAATGGCTGAAATTATCAATAACAATGTTCGGCACGCCACCCTTCTGTGACTGCCACCATTCGACGAGGTATTCATTTCATCAGCTGGGTGGGAGGCTTCTTTTTTTATTTCTTTGCTTTGAAATGTCTTGAATTCTTTGCATTGTAATGACATTTGTACTCTATTTCGCAGTAGTAGTAGTAGTATTTAGTAGTGTGTGCATGTGCATGGGTGGGTGTATGTACACTTGTACATTATTAACATCATGGCTCTACTTCTAAATTGAAATTATGTCTGTCATCTTTTCTGTTTCGTGAACTCTGTGTAGGAGATTTAATTAATGATGAGGGATCAATCACAAGATGCTTGTAACGGTCCAATTTCAAGAGATCCGCCATGTTCATAAGTGTCCACGTTGTTTCGATACATCCAAAAGAGACCCGCTGCTACCTTCTGTTGGCCACAGTTCATTTTTTTTTTTACATTTTGCTTTACTTTCCCAGCTTAATGATCAAACCAGAATTGGCCGAGATTTTTCTCTGCACAGCCCCAAAGAGCAATTGACGTCAAGGGGTCTCCTCGTTAGGTAGGACTGGCGTTCAAAGAATTAATTATTTTCTGCGCTAGGGGCCAAAACCATGTATCAGAAAAAAAAATAAAAATCTTGCTTTGGCGCCATCTGGTGGCATTGCATACCAAGTGCCTGTGTTGAACAGAGAGGAGGAGCTTTATTTGCTGTAGTCGAGCCATAGCTTTGACTTTGAAAAAGATGAATGGAAAATGTCGCACCATGAGCTTTTGGGTCTGCGCCGCCAGGCCAACGGGGTTCATCATGGCGATGAAGATGGGTATGTTGCCCAAAGGGCTGCCCACCCCGCCAGCTATACTGACACCCAGGGAATCACCGGGGCCTTTGGTGAACTCCGCCGTTCTCACCTCCTGGTGATCTGGAGCTGCAGACGTGGAAAACATTTGAGCGTCTCATTCCTGGAGCCAGGCCACGCAGTATTTCCAAGGAAAACTTACCCTGCTGACCCGCATCACCAGAAAGGATTCCTGAGGCCACCTTGGAAGTGCAGGATTCACTCGTTTGTTCCATTTGGGTAAGAGAAACCTGGCTGCTTTGGGACAGCCTTCGCTGCGAGTGGAAGGGGCCGGCTTTAAATCTCCCGATGTCCATTTTCAGCGAGCCAACGCAGCACTGAAACAGAATGACGACCGAGTTCCTTGATATGAATGATCCCCACAGTTGGCACACAGTGTCATCGCTTGTTGTCACTACCTTGAGGAGACCGGCGACTGCCTCCTGGGTGGCGCAGCGAACATCTTCTCCGTTGACCGACAAGATCTGGTCACCCTGCATCAGTCGGCCGTCTGTGTCCGCCAAGCCTCCTTTGATGATGTCGGACACAAAAACCCCCGTGTCATTCCTGGCAGATAAAAACAGTGATTTTTTTTGTTTGTTTTGTTTTGATAACATTGATCAAGTCAGAAATCTTTCAACGCAGTGGGCAGGGCAGGGTAACTCCACATCTCACTGGCCATTAGTGCAAAATCCTGCGATATTGTGAAAATCTGTGATATGAAGTTACAGTATATATCGTGAAAAGCCATCCATTTTCCGATCCGCTTTATCCTCACGCGGGGGGTGCTGGAGCCCATCCCAGCCGTCCTTGGGCAGTAGGCGGGGGATACCCTGAACCGGTTGCTAGCCAATCACAGGGCACACAGAGACGATCAACCATCCGCACTCACACTCACACCTCGGGATAATTTTTGAGTGTCCAATCAGCCTGCCATGCATGTTTTTGGAATGTGGGAGGAAATCATAGGACTCGGAGAAAACGCACGCAGGCCCGGGGAGAACATGCAAACTCCACACAGGAAGGCCGGAGCCGGGATCGAACCCACGACCTCTGCACTGTGAGTTGAAGCGCTAACCACTGGACCACCCTATCGTGAAAATCTGGACAATAATATGCTTGTGAAAAAGGTGAACCATCATATTGAGAGGGCTGACTTAAAGGGAGGAAAATTTATGATGTGGCTACCATCATCCCCTGATCTCAACCCTATTAACTAATTCACTCCCAAAGACGTTTTTAAACGTCTTTTCAGACTTGGTCCAGAATAGGCTGGTACTGAATGACTTAAGAGCCTGTGCCGCATCCTTAAAAGGAAGATCAGGGTGGACTCTGGGATTACAAAATGGTTTTCAGGGTAATCTATACCACGGATGCCTACATCGAGCATTAAATTACCTTTGGTCCCGCGATCTGAAGAGCAAAAGAAAAACAATAGTCATCAATCAGCTTTGTGAGTGCTCGTCAGCTGTCATTCGGAGTACAATTCTGTTGACATCCACCTCCCGCTTGGAAGGAGACAAGCATTATCGATCTGGGATTGGTTACCTCCTCCCCACGATGCTCAGTCCAAGTCCCTGACCGGGCCTCTTGTGCAGCTCCACGATGAACGAGTCCCACAAGTCCTCCTCCTTGTACTGGGCCTCGTCCCTGTAGACGATAAGCCGGACTCGTTGCGGGGTCTGCCGCAGCACGTTGATGGCCTCGTCATGGCTCGCCGCGCGCAAGTCGATGCTGTTCACCTGCGACACACCAGGGCGAGCAGTTGGAGGTGTCAATTTGAGGGGGAGGCGTTTAGTCGATGTTGCGCCCGTGGACTGCTTGGGGAGTTTATAAAGGGGTGGCCACAATTTAAGGAAGCACATTCGATTTCAGATTTCCAATCTGAACATTTTTCAGCCCGTCCTCGTCTTTCAAATACGATATCGAGCTCCCATTCAAAAATCCGACCTCTAGGATTTGATCTCCAGCCCAAAGCCGGCCATCCTTGGAAGCCGCACCTTCTTCGTAAACCTCGTGGATGATGATGGCCCCCTGCAGCCATGAATGAAGAGACATTAGATCGATGTTGTGAGAAAAAAAAAATCTCATTACCTGTTTAAAGCCTTCCTCACCAGCAGAGTGTCGCAGCCCCCGACGATGCTGAGCCCCAGGCCCGTCCGCCCTTTGGAAATCTCGATGGTGGTCTCACAACCCGGGATGATGGGGCACGTGGCCGGGTCGCAGGCCAGCGTCGTCGGGCTGGACGAGCGACTGTGACCTGAAGGCATATAAAGCAAGCCAACGTGTTTTATTCGATGCGGTTCTTTTAATTACAAACCCCGAATAAGCGGTCACAAACACTGACTCACTTGAAGATGTTTCGGGTCGGTTGACGCCGAGCATACTGGGCAGACCGGCCGCCTCGGTTTCCCCATTCACAGTTGCGGCGCGGCCTTCCTGGATGGTTACCTTGTCCGCTGTGGTCCTTTCACCAACCTCAATGTCTTCCTGATGGTGACATGAAAAGAATGCTATTTGCTCTGTTGCCACGTGGGTTTATTGTGCTTATGTCACAGTCATGGTGCAATACAAAGCGTATGTGTGTGGGCCTTCTAATTGGGGGCACGACATGCACGCTAGCCTCTCTGTGGTTTTTGTGCATCTTGGGAGCTGGGAAGTCTGAGCGGGCCACACAACGGCATTGGTGGGAGGAATGATTTGAGTGTACTTTCGATGGCGCATCATCAAATAGAGCGGCCACGCTCTCGCTCTCGAGTCACCGTGGTTCAAATTCAGACAAAATCTCTTGGATGTTCTTTGAAAATGGGCAAAGTGACCTGCTTTACATCAAAGTGGCAGACCTTTTTGTGTGTTTTCAGGCTTCTTGAGATGTTTTTTTTTTTTTCGTGTGCGTGCATCTACCCATGTCACGAACAGAAACTGGCTTCAGAGGCTGAATTGTCACAAAATACAGAACAGAAGTCTCATTTAAATGGCCAGAATGGCTTTTTGAAGCCAAAATGACAGACTTAATGTGTCTTGTCAGACTTATTTCTGGGTCGACTAATGATAGACACGTTTGACCAAATTTCATGGTAGGAACACGCACCGCTTTTCAGGGGCTGAATTTACCCCCTTCTTCCAAATTGCAGCCAACATTGCCACGCGCTACTCTGCCTGACCACTTGTTCATGCGCGCAACATGTGTTCCGACGCAACATGTGTTCCGACACTTAGTCGGGGCCCAGCTGTTTACCTCCGCGCGGGACCCGGCTGCGTCTCCCTCCGTTTCTCTCACGGGTCCCACCGCCATCTGCTCCAGGGCCCCTGTGTTCCTGTTCCGCAAGAGTCATAACTCACGTGAGCTGTCGCTGAGACAGTCTGCTCAGAAAAGGGAAGACCAGTTCAGTGGAAGGACAAAGCCTCTGTCATAAAAGCTAATTACACTCAGCTACAGGGTTTGTTTACCTTCTTCACTGAAGGCAACTAAAATAGCATTGGTTGGTGTTGATGTTTTGGTTAGCAACAGCGCTGAACATTTCTTTCCTTGGACACAAACTTCAAACGATCATCTTTGAAAGCAAGTGTGCACTGGGCTTGTTCATTCTTTTTGGTGTTCTGACGTCTCCCTCTAGTGGACGTTGTCTAACATTGCAACAATGAGATCAAGATGTATCTTTTACCTGATGAAGATGATTTTGACTTTAGATGGGGAGCTTTTGATAATGGAAGATGCATTCTGGTGGCTTTGGCCATAGAGGACCTGTCCATTAATCTAGGGCGGGGGGGAAAAAAAAACAAAGAATCAGCCGTGTTCGAAATGCTCATCAAATGTCCTACTTCTCACCTCGAGGAGCTCATCCCCGACAAGCATGCGTCCGTCAGTCCCGGCCGCCCCCGCGGGGTCGATGCCCACCACAAAGACGCTCATGCGGGCGCGGTCCCGGTTGCCAGCCAGGCTGAGGCCCAGGCCTGTCTTGCCCTTCTCCAGCTCGATCGCGTGCAGGGCGCCCGGGAGGCTGCCGTAACGCTGGACGATACTCTCTGAAATGCACCAGTGGAGGCATTTACTCGTCATCACGATTGAATGCAAACGTATTGTACGCCAAAGTTAAATACAACTGAACCGCACTGAACAAATGTACTGTGCTGGAAGAAAAAATGTGTTTGGTAAAGAATCATTGTATCTGGTATGTTCAATGTGGCAAACAGTTGCAAACAGTTACGTTTGCCAGACATTCCCAAACAGTTTTAATGGTTGCAAACAGTTTTTTCTTGTCGCCATCACATTTTGAATGACAAGAATAACTGCTGGAGACCATTCAACTTGTCGGCGAACGTCTTTGCGACCGTCTGTGACCTTGAACGAACGCAGATGGGGGAAAAACACCCAACATCTGCAGGATGCGCAAGCACTAGCAAACCATTGCCGCTCAATGAGATATGTAAGGGAGTTGTTTGATAGAAATCGTTAATGACACCGATAATCAAAATAACGTATGATGACGAAAAATAAAAATATTTTTGCGTGTTTTAATTAATCAACAAAAATCTACCAGCTGTTTATTAGAATAGCTTTGTAGACCTAGTCCAAGTGTAGAGACTAAAAGTTTGAATCATGAATCATGAATATATTAATAAACGTGACAAGGAACTCACCCCAGTTGTTCCCAAACTCCACCTCCTCCCCTTCTTCTTCTTCTTCCCCGTCTCCCGCATCAGCCTGAAGGGGCGGAGTCAGCGTCTCCGCCAGGGTATCGGTGTCCGTTTCCCCCACGTGGGGCACGACCGGCATGGCGAGGGCCATGCTGGCGGGCATCGCGTTTGCAGCGTCGCGCTTCTTGGGCTTCGGGGTGTGGAAGGGGGAGATCCATATTAGTGAAAAGGCCAACAGAATTCTAAATGCTTTTTTACAGAATCAATCGTTGCTTGAAGGTTTGCCAGGAGAGCGCAACAAATCATCAGAGGCGCATGTGTTTTGATTTTGCAGCATTATGTTAGTTGGGGCGGAAAAATGATTGGGTGTCATCAACGCTCGAGGCTCACTCAGACGACAGCGAATTCAATACGGTCAAGCTTGGTTCATTGAACCAAATTTGGCTTACACATTAATATACACTACTCACAAAACTTCACATGGGCTTTCTGCAGAAATTTTAGGACAAACCTCAAATGCAAACTGAATTTCATAATTTTTTAAAAAACCCAACACGGAGCAGAACAGCACAATTCTGTACAGGTCTTGACATCCTCTCCTATGCCTTTCTGTGACTCTTCCAGTCACTTCCGCGCTGCCTAAAATAGCGTTAATCCATTTTTAGGTGTGTTTTTTTTGGGTCTCATGATGACAAAATGTGAACAGTCTGATGGAGAGGAATACCATAGGTTCATCCTGAAATTTCAACCAGAAGCAGAGCATTCTGTTCCTACCTGAAGAACAAGAGACATTCACACTTGCGACACACAAGCCTGCCTACCCGTTTTAACATCAAGTGACAAATGAAAAATAAGAACAAGATGATTGGACACAGACAAACACTCAAGACGCCGGTCCTACGTGCGCATGCATGGCCATTTGTGTAGCATTCAATAGACTGACTTTTTGCAAATCGCGGCTAGGGTGTTGCACACATTATCAAAACGATGTTACTCATTCACTCCCATTGACTAGTGTACTCGTCAATTCTGTTTTTCAACGCTGATGGGCGGGAGATCCTCTGATGCTGCGCCACGATAAATTTCAAACTGGGAAACAACTTCACTGATGCACAACCACCACTAGATGGCATTAATGGCCCATTTTAGAAATTAGATCAGCACAAATTTGTGAGTCGGCTACATTTTTGGGAAACCATTGTTGGACATAAAACAATGTCTATTTTTTTCATTTGGTGGATTCGTAGGGCTTCCCGTTGGTCTTGAAAATCTCAGAATGTTCCAAAATGGCGGGCAGTGAATGAGTTTTTCATCATCATTGCAATTTATGGCCTGGTACTATTCTAGTGAGAGGACACGAGTCATCCATTTCAGCTGCCATGCTCTGACGAAAATGCAAAAGTTTGGCAATTACGCATCATTCGTCTGTTTGCAAGACATTTGTGGAACAGGTTCCCTTTTGAAAGACTTGTGAAAATGGCCTCAACAGACAAAATGGCTGCTGGATTTCAAACAAGCTACCATCAATCGACTGCGTTAATTTAAGTCATTACACTGTGAAAAGAAACAAGAGTTGTATTTTTTTTGTGGCTAAAACAGTAATTTTACTTTCAACAACTTTAAAATAAAAATGATTGACTTTTATGGCAACAATGTTAGCACAACAAAGCGAGCAAGGTGTTTTTTTTTGTACCAAAACAATCTGCCGAGTTGTTTTTACTTGTAACTCAGTTAGCAGAGCAAAACAAGGGACAACAGTTAATTTCTTTGTAGTGGAACATGGGAAAGCCAATTTTCACAACAGCAAATCTTAAAAAAATTTTTTTTTTTTACAGTGCAGTCACTATTTGTTATCATTGGGGGAAAGGGAGGCATATTTTCAAAATAAATTTCCGCACTCAAAAGTGAATTGGGGCGCGGCTTCAATTGCCATCATTTGAGGACGTACGGTAGAACTTGCATCGAGCACTGTGAATGCATTAGCTGTCACATGACATAACGTTGCCATTGCCCCATTCCACAGCACGTGCGTGCACCGAGAAGGACAAGAGGAAGGCCACAACAGAGACCCACAAACCTTAAACGGGGTAGGAGTGAAAGGGTTAGTTGGGGAGAGGCGGAGGACAAGTCTACTGTGACTGTCACCCTCCTATAGAGAAGAGACAAAGGGTGACAACTTTAGACGATGACGCATTTGTGACACAACAACGATTCACCCACTGTGCTTTCATGTGCAGTGCAAAAAGAACAGCCGCTGAGTTCAAACGGCTCCAAAGCGTCACCAACCTTGTCCTCCTTGTCTCTGGGTAGAATTGGTGCATTCTCCTCGATGGACTCGGCGCTTGTCGATGACTACATGACACAATACAACATCAACTTGTATTACACGGTGCTCCCACGTAAAGTGAGTCCCGTATTTTCCGCACTATAAGGCGCACCTAAGAGCATTCAATTTTTCTCACCGACAGTGCGTCTTATAATCCGATGCGCCTTCTATATGGATCAATATTCTGATTTCTTGTACAAAGTGTTTTAAATGTTCTATCAAGCGCTTTGTTACAGCTGTAGCGGTTGTGAAGGCGTTATAGAAATAAAGCTGTATTGTATTCTATTCCTTTTTATTGTATTACTTTTTATTGTATTGCCTTTAGCGTAGCTCCAGCTAGTGGATGCATAACGCACCCGCAGCCACTATTATAGTTTCTATTCTATGCACCCTATAATGCAGCGCGCATGATATATGAAAATAGTTTTAAAATAGGACATTGATTGAAAGAGTGCCTTATAGTGCGGAAAATACGGTACATACGATTTCCTCTTTGGCAAACCAAGACCAAAATGACCTCTCGATTTTTCTGCCATAAAAGTAGTTGCTTCAAACAGAGCTAATGTTACCCCGGAGTCAAGATACACTTCCTTACAACACACACACACAGTAAACAGCTCAGCTGCATCAGGAGACACTCACACCGCTTTGGCATGCACGCCACAGTGCTCATGCCAGGTAATCCATCTCTCTTATATTCCGTCTCCCTGGTTTCTATTGCATCAGCCATCAATCACACTTGAGCTTGCCTTATCGCTGCCGCTCTCCTCGCTTTTCTAAGCAGAGCGCCCCTCTTTCAAACCGTCATCTTCACAGATCAGCATAATTAGAGACAAACTTGGGGAATAAAATGGGACAATCTGTCTGATCACTTCATCAACAGGCATCATGAAAAAGGCTTTCCTATCACTGGGGGGATCACAGCTGCGCCAATGGCAAGAGCACCCAGAAATGACGCCATGCAATAGATTGACAGCAAGTCGGCCATTTTGGCATGCAACGGCCATGGAGAGTCATTTTAGTGGATCCTTCAAAAATGAACCGGTCGTGAAGATTTTGCCCCCAAAAATTCTCATGAAGCAGTCACTAAAAAGACAAAGGAAGTCAGGAATTTTCTGTTTGCAACATGACATTTCGGTAGGCCACGAAAAGAGTCTTGAGAACCAATGCCCGAAAAGTCATAGAAAGTCTGCCATTTTGGTTTGAAACAGCCATGTTGGAGACATTTTCTACTTTTGAGACCTACCCTGGGTTTCTGGATAATACTCTGCACCAGGAAGGACACGGGATTGCCTGCCCTGCGTATGGCCTCCACCGCCTCCTCGTGACTGGCGTCTCTTAGATCGACGCCGTCCACCTGATGGGTGAGGTTCACTCTTATTATCCGCTCTCCAGTCTTGTCTGAATAGCCCCCAATTGTTGGTTATTTACTTCCACAATCCTGTCTCCGGTCTTCAAGGTGCCGTTGTGTCCGGCGGGACTGTCCTCCAGGATATGCTTGATGAAAATGCCCCGCATCACCTCGCCGTTGCTCAGCCGGCTGCCCATCCCGCGGCCCCCGACAATGCTTATGCCCAGGGACTTGCCGGGCTGTCTGAAGAGCTCCACTCTGAGGGCGGAGGTACCACAATCAGTTTACATCACTTTTATTCTATTCTTTATGTTTCAAGTGATCTTTTCAAATGCGTGACTCAACTTTGAACATGTATTATGAATAACACATTTTAAATATGAATGTTCATTAAGGACATGAAAAAAATAGTACCGTATTTTCCGCAGTATAAGGCGTACCTAAAAGCATTCAACTTTCTCAAAAGCCGACAGTGCGCCTTATGATCCGACGCACCTTCCATATGGATCAATATTCTGATTTCTTGGCCGTAGTATTTTAAATGTTCTGCAAAGCGCTTTGTTACAGCTGCAGCGGTTGTGAAGGCTCTATATTAATAAAGCTGTATTGTATTGTATTGTATTGTATTGTATTCTGTTTAGTGCAAACGCAGCCAGTGGATGCATAACGCAAACGCAGCCATTATTGTAGCTTCTATTCTATGCGCCTCACAATGCGGTGCGCCATATGTATGAAAACAGTTTTAAAATAGGCCGTTCGTTGAAGGTGCGCCTTACACTCCGAAGCGCCTTATAATGCGGAAAATACGGCAATAATTTTTTTGGGTCCCCTGGACATACTCACAGTCGCGGTTGATTCCAGTTGCTATAAGACACACTCTCCTCACCCTCACCATCCTCCCGCTCGGGAAGGTTGGGAACGTCCCTACACAGCAAGGGAGACACTTAAAAAACGCCCTGGGTTCAAAAAAGCACCGCTTCCTTATTGTAGACGAGACTCGGTCAACGTACTTCGGAGGCGGAACAAACGCCGGTTCAGAGAAGACGTCGACAAGGGAGACACTTTAAAAATGCCCTGGGTTTAAAAAAAAGCATCGCTTCCTTTTTGTAGACTAGACTCGGCCGACGTACTTTGGAGGCGGAACAAACGCCGGTTCAGAGAAGACGTCGTCTTTGTCCCTCGGCTCCACGCTGCTCTTATACTCCTCGAGATATTCTGCTGGGACGTACGTGATGCTGGACAAAAACACAAGTTGAAACAACGTGACGTTTGCCTCGCAAAGGCACACAAACGTGCTGAGTTTGGAAAGGTTCTTGGTTATCCGGCGATGTGAAAAAGTTGTTAGTGTTACTAAGTGATGACGGCATGCAGACAATAGAAGGACGAATGGAGGAAAAGAACACCAGGACGGACGGCCAGGACAATGCCGGACGGTTAGTCATACTCACACATAAAATGGGCACAGATCATCCTCTGGTGAGCAAGCAGATCTAGAACGGTGAAGAGTTGGCGTTTATGCACCGAACAGAACTGTGCCTTTGTTTAGTTGGCCAAGCATGCAATAATCCTCTAGGGTTTTTTTTCTTGGCTAAACCGAAAACATTCATGCTAAAAAAATAAATAAATAAATAAAAAAAATCCAGTACTAGAATACTGTGTTCCACCTTTATATGACCGTTTTTCTTGCATAACGTACCTATTTATAGCGACTGTTTTTATGGCCTCTTACAGCTCTTTTTTTTTTAACAATACAGATGCTGTGAGGTAATGAAAACACAACAAATATTTATATTAAAGTGCAGTGAAATATATATGAGTCAATTAAAATGCACTGCACACAAGAGTAAAATAAAGACAAAACGAGTCTTATCAGATTAAATGCAAATGTATTTGACCAAAAAGTTAAATACAACTGAAGTGAACTTAACAAATGTACTGTAGTGGATTGTAATGCAGTGATTCTTGGCAAAGTGTGCGGTAGGGGTAGAACTGTTAAAAATAAATGAATAAATAAACATAATAATTCCATAGTCTCCCTATATGGCTGATTTTTACCGATTGCGGGGAGTCTTGAACACATCACTGAGGGTTAAACGGGGGTTTCCTGTATTTAGTCTTGCCCATTGCTCTTACCCCATATCTGATCCGATAAGAGAGTGCCTGCGCAGCATGGCGCGTGCCTGAGCGTTGGTCAGCTTGGCGGTAGGTTCCCCGTTAATGGCCAGGATGAGGTCACCCACGCCCAGGCGGCCGTCCCGACTGATGGAGCCGCCGTGGATGATGCTTCGAATCAGCATCCCCAGACCGTCTTTCATGGCGCTCACCGTCATCCCTGCGATAGCCGTAAAACCACAGCGCCGTCAATTCACTCCAGTGGGTTTGGGTTCTGTGAGTTGGAGGCAAAGTGACTCTTTGGGGACTAACAATCCAATGTACGGTACTGTCTTTTCGAGAGTCTTTTTTTTTTTTTTTGTTTTGAATAAATGAGGTGTTTATTATTGAAGTAAATAGACGGCGTTCATTCACCCGTCTCAGAGGCTTTAATACAATTTCAGCATTTTAGGGAGGTTAAGACATGAATTATGGGAGACATCTATTTGGGGAAAGACGCTAATTTGTTTCCACTAATTTTGAAATACATTTTTTGAGGAAATATACGCAGAGGTAATTCGTCCAGTTCCACACCCAAAAAACATTTTGGGAGCATTTGTGCATTAATTAGTGGTGAGGCATCTACTTGGGGAGAGGCCCTTATTTATCTCCAGAAAATGAGGCTTGTATTATTTGTATAAATGTCAAAACAGTTACCCAATTACGTTGCCTAGTTGAGTTTAACTCTGGGGCTTTTGTGCAACTTCCTCCTTTCCTCAAATGTTTTGGTTGTGTGAAGGCCACTATTAGAGAGAGACATTTATTATTTGTTGTCTGGGGGGGAGAACTTGTCAAAACCTCTTTTGATGTGAAACAACTTCATTTGAAGAAATGAACACAAACCAAGACTGGAGTTGCCCTTGACAACCGTGATCGTCCGTTCGAAACTGCTCCCCGAGGTTGCCGCTCGGTCGCCAGCGTCTGCTCTCGTGTCGACTTCCTCGTCCTCCTACGGGGGAAAAAAAAAAAACGACAACAGACTCCTGACCTCTTCTGCTGTGTCCAACACGGGCATTGACACAAGAGTTCAGAACAGTCCTTCTCAAGTTACCTCCATGGAGATTGGTTGTTCCACAAAAGTGCTGGCGGGCTCTTCCGCGTGACATTGAACCAATTCTGACGGTTCCGGCTGGATTATGGGCGTGATTTTGAGGTCATTAAACGGCCTGTAGGAGTCGAAGGCCTTCGTGGTGTCCTCGGCCGTGACTAGGTCCTTGTCAGAACCGCCTGCAGGGGCTGTCACCGATGTCGGCCCATAGTCGAGATAACTTGAAATCTGTGTTGCGCATGGTTAGCTTTGTAAGGGTTTGTTGTCCTTTTTTTTTTTTTTTTTAAAGAGACCATTCATAATTTTTGTCAACAATATGAACCAGGGTACTTTGGGTGGCACAACACAAATGACTACGATTGACTTCAACTGAAAACGAGGAAAAACCTTGTAGTTGGTGTTCCGCTCCAAAACGATCAAAATTAAATCTGGCGGAACCGGGTGAGGATGATAAATGAAGTGAATGTCGTAAATAGGTGTACAAAGAAGATGGCTAGCCACGAAGCAAACCTTCATAATCGGTTTGGTGGAAGACATTTAATCCCAGGTATGTAGGGAAAAAAATGTGGTCGGACTATGTTTGAATAATTTTGCAAAAGAGAATGGCTAGCCTGCTAGCTAACGTCAGCAAGCTGTCCAACACGAAGCAAACCTTCATAATCGGTTTGGTGGAAGACATTTAATCCCAGGTATGTAGGGAAAAAAATGTGGTTGGACTATGTTTGAATAATTTTGCGAAACAGAATGGCTAGCCTGCTAGCTAACGTCAGTAAGCTGTCCAACACGAAGCAAACCTTCATAATCGGTTTGGTGGAAGACATTTAATCCCAGGTATGTAGGGAAAAAAATGTGGTTGGACTATGTTTGAATAATTTTGCAAAACAGAAGGGCTAGCCTGCTAGCTAACGTTAACAAGCTGTCCAACACATCTGTGCCACGGTGCCAATCAACAGAGATATCAACAATTAGTGTCAGCCGCATTTCTGGGAACGCCCTCCCATTCTTGGAACCTTTTGGACAATCAAAACAATGACAAAACCTTTTTTTTGTTGAGATGCACAAAGGGCCAAAGTGACCTCAACTCTGTTTCCACTCTTTTTGCCTTGGTCAAATGACATGTTCGGGTTTGTTTACTGTGAGGATGCCTGAGGGTTTGCCACTGGGAATTCTGTGCGACGACATCATACAGTGTTCTTCTAATTTGCGTAGATGTCTCGCTGCTCACCTCGGGCGTGGATGTGTGCAGGAAATCCAGGTCGGACCTACTTCCATGAAGGGCAATCATCGATGCCTGGAAAGTGTCCTCTTCGCCATAATAAGTACGCTCAAGCGCCTTTTCGTCCACTTCGCTAGTGTCCACCTGGCAGGAAAAAAAAGGTACATTTAACCGCCAAATCAAAAATGTTGTCAAGTGTTTAATTGTTTTTTTTTTTTTTTTTTTTTAAATAAATCCTCACGGTTGCTTGAAAAGCTAACTAACCAATGCCGGCTCTGCCCGAAAAAGGACCACGCTGGGCAGTTCATCTTCATCCCTGTCTTGTCGTAAACTACTGCTGAAGTCAAACGAACGGATGGTGGACAGCGACGTGACTTCCTGCCCAGCATAAAGCTGCGGTGAGTAGGAATCTCCACTTATCCCCTAGGAAAAGTGAAGAGATTCTTTCAGTGTCTCCAAGTGTTCGAGGATTACGATTGTCCGGCTCAATTTTGAGAGGCTCCGCCGCCAACGTGCGTTCCACATCCTGTGGGAGTGCGGGATAACTCTCACGCCGGCTGGTAATCCGTCTGACCTCGACACCGGTAATCCGAAGGCAATACAAGCGAAAATGAAAGCTGCGGGTTGTGATGAAGAGCCCCTCGCACCCCCCACGCCTGCTTGTGACCTTGTCGGACTTGTCATTGGAGTTTCCTGTTTGATGGCGACTTTCGAGTGTTCAAACTTCCACTCCGTGCGCGACATAGTCGATCACCCATCACAGTAAAAGGCTAAAATAAGCCACTAAAAAAGACAGACAAATTCAAAGCCTTTCGATAAGATTTAATTATGAGTGACTTGAAATGACCTAGCTTGAAATGTAACGCGACCCCAAACACTGACAAGACACCAATCGTCGGATTCAAAATACTTACGGGAAGGGGTTTGGCCACCCCGATCTGCACCATGCCCAGCTCAGCCCCCTTGAGAGCTTGGACAGCGTCTTCCAGGCTGGCGCTCTCCAGGTTGGTGTCGTTGACGAACATCAGTCGGTCCCCCGGCAGCAGTCGTCCGTCCTGCTCGGCCACGCCGTTGGGTACCAGGGAGCGGATCACGATGACCGTTTTTGCCGGGTCCAGTGGGTCCTGCGGTGGAGCCGCATGGAATAACGTGTAACCAGAAGCAGGTTTAATTTCAAGACAAGAAAAAAGTTTTGTCCTTTCACACCTGGTAGTCGAGAATGCTGAATCCCAACCCTCCAACTCCTTTTTCCAGCTCAATATTTTGGATCTCCAGCTCCCACATGGCCAAAGTAGACCCCGTCGCCTCCGGAGTCAGATCATTTGTCGCTTCCGCCGTTTCCACCGCGTCGACGCTACTCAGGTCGTGTGTTTGTTTCTCCTCAAAAGGCAAACAGAGACGCTCAATCTCTTGTTTGGCATACTCGGCCTTTGATGACATGATATCATAATAAGCCAGGAGCTGGCTTTGAAGTGTTCTCTTTCCAGTCACCATTGTTGGCGACTGCCGCTCAAGTGTGTAACTGGAGTCGCGCTGCCTTTTTATTTTTTTTTGTGTGTGTGAAACCTTAGTCCATCACGCTTGGCAGTGTGGAGAACTAATGGAGCGACTGACAGTTCGGGCTCACCTAATTACACGTGAAGAGGCTACGCTGTCGAGGAAGACAAGGACACTCGTGCAGCGGTTGACAACCTTTTACATGACACGGCATCATCATTTACAGCTATGTTAATGCAAAAAAAATAAATAAATAAATCTAATCAATTGAAATGATTGAGGATTATTAACTGCCTCCTTGGGGCTCTTTTCCACCACAAACCTGCGACACGTTTGACCCATTAGGGCCACTGTACACTTTTTTTTGTTTCGTATGTGTTATGCATTGTATTAGCAACCATCAGCTTTTGAGTATTTCGGGACACTTTTGACCCATTAGGGCCACTGTACACTTTTTAAAAAATCATGTTTTGTTTCGTATGTGTTGTGCATTGTATTAGCAACCATCAGCTTTTGAGTATTTCGAATCAAGCGCGGTAACAGAAAATCAAGTACCTCTAGTGGCGATCCGGCAGAGGAAGCTTCTACTTGTGGGTTTGAAGCGTCACTGTCGGCCTGCAGGTTAGGGGCAGGTCTGCAGCATGTCATGTACACACACAGGGGAAGCTCCTTCAAGATTCGGACCACCTCCTTGTGGGTCTCACCGATGAGGGATATACCGTTGACCTGAAACAAAAAAAAAAAAAAAGGCATTGATATGAAGATGGGAAGCCATCGTTGCGGTGTGAAACGCTAGCTCCTCCCACTTACCTCTACTAGTTCATCCCCACTGAATAGTTTGGCGCAGCGGCCGACGGGTCCTTCGGGCAGCACGGAGCGGATGTAGTGATGGCCGCCGTTGGCTTTCAGACTGATCCCCAGGGCCCTGCTCTCGCTACTTGAGCCACCTACATGAGCCATAATCATTTCATTCGCTCAGCTAACAAAATGAGGGAAAGTCAGCTCTTGAAAAACACTTACGACGACTTCATTATTTGCGCCCAGAATCCCTTGCCACTTTTTCACAAGTTCCTCTTCCTGGAAGGGTGTCAGCGTTGTTGTACCTTTAAGGGAGGACACAGTTAACAGTGCCAGCTAATCTCAAACAACACGCACCATTTGAGCATTTGTAACTGTGTTGCTAGGTTGTTTGATACACCCTCACCCCCACCCCCTCCCCACGGCCTCCTACCATCATTCTCTTGTGTCAGCTGATCTACAACCGGCGTGACAGCAGGTCCTTCGTTCATTGTCTGTGGCTGCTTTTCATCTGGGCACACAAGGCACCGTCGATGAGGGAGGTCAGACGTAATGCTCGACACAAACAATGTGGAACTGTTGCACTTGAAAGTATGTTGCAGATGAACGATACATTTATTTTGTCGAAACTACACCAATAAAGATAATGTATCACTGCCCCGTTGTGGACCATCCAGGACACCCAAAATGTATCGGCAGTGCGAATGTTCCCGTTGAACGTCTTGAACTAACTTAACCTCACAATGATTTAGCCATGAATCTTCACTATTTGAAAGAGCGCTAAGCCATGCCCCGAACAGAAAAATATTTAATGCCCTCAAAATAGCTTGCAGTTGCCTGTTGAATCCACAAGGCGGCAGCAAAGCACTACCAATGTCAAAATGAAACTCCTCAACTCACTTCAGCATACGTCTTTGACACTATGATGCCACGAGATGAAGCCAGAGCAATAAGTTTGAGCAAATAGACAAAACTGTGGATATGCCGTATTCTTTAAAAAAAATGTAGTTCCGACCAAAAGAATAGAAATATGCGAAAATTGGAACAAAACACTTGCTTGCACCCGCAGCCTGAGCCTACCTTGGTAAGTTTCCGTCGGTCCCTCCATGTCGAGCTCCTTCAGGACCGCCGCTGATGGGGGCAGGATGGTGACGACGGGGGCCACAGCAGGTGGAATCTCATCGGGCCGGAATCCCCGGCGAATCAACTTCAGGTGGACGGCCTGACCCGTGTGGCGGAGGACTTCCACGGCCTGTTGGTTGGTGTATCCCTGGATGTCCACGCCGTCCACCTGCAGGGGCGGCGAGCGAGCGGGAGCCCGGGGATTCATACACACACCTTGTGAGTGTTCTACTCTTAGCCAACAACATTGTGATGAAAATGTCTCCCTGTGTTTGGAACAATTTTGCATCCCAAATTGTACCAAATACAGGGAGACATTCCAAAAAAAAAAAAAGTAGGCGATCCATTCAGAACTCATTTTTTATGGATAGTCTTTAAGAACGCGATGGCTCATTGTGTTGAATCTTTGATATTCCCAGGAAAAATGTGCCATGAATTGTTAATTCCTCAAAATTATGCAAATCCACAGACTGAATGGATTCATTGCTCCCTATCGATGGCTCACATACTGTAAAACATTTCCCACATAACATATATTGTTAATATTAGTGATAGTAATTCGCGTTGACCTTTTTAAGGGTTGGGGTGGAGGGGCTAAATGATTGCAGCACTCGCAAAAGGTGAATGAGTCACCAGATTGATATTGAAAAACAAAAAAATCATTTAACTCCAAGCAGGGTCCGACATGAAGCCATTTTTGGTGGTACCAAGTTGTGGTAAAAAAAAAAGCCATCGTTGCGGTGTGAAACGCTAGCTCCTCCCACTTACCTCTACTAGTTCATCCCCACTGAATAGTTTGGCGCAGCGGCCGACGGGTCCTTCGGGCAGCACGGAGCGGATGTAGTGATGGCCGCCGTTGGCTTCCAGACTGATCCCCAGGCCGCTGCTCTCGCTGTATTTCTCCACTTGAGCCACCTACATGAGCCATAATCATTTCATTCGCTCAGCTAACAAAATGAGGGAAAGTCAGCTCTTGAAAAACACTTACGACGACTTCATTATTTGCGCCCAGAATCCCTTGCCACTTTTTCACAAGTTCCTCTTCCTGGAAGGGTGTCAGCGTTGTTGTACCTTTAAGGGAGGACACAGTTAACAGTGCCAGCTAATCTCAAACAACACGCACCATTTGAGCATTTGTAACTGTGTTGCTAGGTTGTTTGATACACCCTCACCCCCACCCCCTCCAC